AATGTCATACTTGTACTTATTTATTAGCACGTCCAGTTCTTCCTGCTTATTACCCATACTTCTTGCATTTGTATATAGGCATCTAAAGTTACTGATTTGACCATGCCTCCCAGTTTTGCCCTGATCCTCCTTTCTCTCTGCCAGTATAGCCCACGCCAAGGCACAGCCCCCCCAGAAGAGCAACACAGGTCCAAACCAGCTCAGCTTTGAGAGGGCTCTGCTATAGGACTTTGACTACACCCCAAATAAATCTCTATTACTCTGCATAAAAGTTGTACGCAGAGAGAGCTCATAAGGTTAGCTCTCTTAATCAATGAAAGAGAGAGATGCACAGTTGTGGCTCCCCCCAACTTTACACTGGGCTTGATAATAAGTAGAAGTGTTTTTATTTAATATAAAAAGTAGGATTTAAGTGATTGCAAGTAAAAACAGATCAAAGTGAGTTACTAAGCCAAAATAAAACAAAACACGCCAATGAAGTCTAATACCCCAAGAAACTTGTTACATGCAGATTCTTACCCTGACTGTTGTTCTAAGACTCCTTTTCACAAGCTGGGCAGCCTCCCAGCTTGGGCCTGATCCTTCCCCTTGTTCAGTTTTAGATGTTTCCAGCAGACATCCTGAGTGAGAAGTGGGGGTCTCCTGGCATCTGGCCACTGGCTGTATTGTTTGGCTTTATATCCCCTTTTCCAAAACGCGGGAATTCTTTGTGTTCAGTTCAAACTTTTCTCACCTTGAGTGGAAAGTGCCAGATCCAGAATGAGTTTCAGCATCAGGTGGCCTGGTCACGTTACTTTGTAAGACCAACCACAGTTTGGGTTTACAGGAAAAACAAACCCATTTACAGATTGTTGCCTTGAAACAGTGTTGGGCAACCTGTAGCCCACGGGCAACATTGGGGTTCTCTGTGTGACCCATCAACATTTAGTTTACCATTGAAGATTTTTATCCGTGTAGTTTTTCCCTACCAGGATTACAAAAGTGGCACACACTTAAAAGTAGGGGCATGTGAAGTGAGGTGCACACTGATTGAACACAACATAGTGAAAGCCATATGCTTCCTCTGCATCCAATCAGAGTGCTGCTATGGTTCAACTGGAAGATTCGGCAAGTTCTAGGTACACAAGCATAGATAGCAAAACTACCCTATCCTGGGAGACTGTCTTGGTTATGACAATCTTGTGGCCCAATGCGATGAAGGAGGGCCATTCATGCAGACCACTCACTAGCCTAAGTTGCCCCTTATTGCCTTGAGCACTGGGCTCTTATGTTTCTGGAGTATCATTAATGGCACATTAAGAATTAAACAGATTCACACTTCATATTTCTATCTTCACATGCAAGAATGATGCATGCACAGAAATAGAATATACAGATTCAGCAGATTCTAACTTTTAAAATGTCACATGATGCATTTTGCCTAATGCATCTTTGAGTTATTCATATTCATAAGCCAATTTTCATAAAGCACGGGGGAGGGCCGTGACAGTGGTAATGAGGTAACTTTGTCGATTTTCTCGGAGAAGTGCCTGCCACGTGTGGGGGCAGCACAGAAGAAAACTCAAAGGTGCTCATTTGAACACTTGTGAGCATTCATTAAAGGTATAACAGAAGTTTGGCAACAAAAACTTTTACCAGGCGACCTTTCTTCCCTGGCACTTAATTGTCCAGGTGTGACGTGTACAGCAGCACTATGTGCAGCGCCAAGTGCCGCGTGTTCCTAGACTGCCGCACAACTTTCTTAACACCTGCATATATGCACGTCATGTATTTTCTCGGGGCCAGGAGTGGTGCTTATCCCCCATAACAGGAGTTGGAGAGATGTTGTTTCCCCACAAAGTGCTACCATTTCATGATAGATCAGAGCTTTGGCCTGTGTTAGGAGAGATGGTTTGGAACCAGCCCCCGCTGCAGGGCTGAAAGCAGTGGAGGATAGGGAGTGATGATCAGTGAGCCAGATAAGACGGGTTGATTCGATCAGTGTCAAATCCATTAATGTCAATAGATAGCTTTTTTTTTTTTTTTAAACTCTGCCATTTGCTTTAATGATTCCTGACAGTGGAATGTGTTTTGGCAAGAAATCCAGTCACCTATTTACTCGTGCAGAGGCGTTTGTAACAGCTGAAACGTAACAGACACAAAAGCAGGCCATTCCACTTCTCTATAAGCCACTAATAATCTAAAATATAGACATGCCCAGTGGTAGCTGCTTTTAACTTATTTGCAAGCTCTGAACTGGTTTTTAAAAAATCAAAGCTGGAAATGTATCAAGTTTGAATCTTTCCACTCTTGTGAGTGTCTGAATTTCAACAGCTTTCAGACAACAGGTAACTGACAAAGGACACAATTCAAAGCCCTCTGAAGCAATGAGGCTTTTCCGTCAGCTTCACTGGGCTTTCGATCAAGCCCTCCGGCTCTAAAGCAAGGTCTTTATTTTGATGCACAGAGCTGTATTCATAGCTTATTGCCAAATGAGTTACTAATGACATGGGGGCATATCCTAGTCCCATTCAAGTCTCTAACAAACTCCCCATTGAATCCAGCAAAACTAGGATTTTGCTCAATAGAGAATTTCTAGAGAATGTAAAGGGACTGAAATCAGCAATGTATTTGTTTTTCTCTGACTTTGAGATCTAACATGAGGCTGGAGGTTGGGGTATTCTGACCTCCCCCTCCAATTTTACTCTTCCTTTCCCCTCAGTCGTATGACAGGTTCTTGGCTATGGAAAGCAGTAGTACTTTTATAAGAACGTAGCACTTCTGTGACATTTTTCATCCATAGCTGTTGAAGTGCTTTAGTAACATTGATAAGCATCATCATCTCTGTTTTATAGATGAGAGGAACTTAGGCTCAGAGAGTAACAGCAAAGTGCAAAATGTCACAAAGCAAGTCATTTGCTGAGTCAGGAATGGCATTCACATCTGTACTCTGTTGGCGCAGCTCTACAGCTTAATAATGCCCGATAATACACTGTCTGGGCTCAGTTCTGCCCTTGGCTGACTGCATGCTGCTCTCACTGAAGTCAATGGATCAAATTCTGTTTTTTATATTATGTAATGTGACAGGGTCAGGCCAGAGGGATGCAAAAGAGTAATGGAAGGGAAGCATGTTAGCCACAGACTGAGTAAAGCTCTGTTCCCAGGGGAATTGGCAGGGTCTAGTCCAGAACCAGCCAGAATCAATCAGGGCAATTGAGCACCTGGACCTAATTATGTCGGCTTGCAGAGTCAAGGGAGCCTAGGCTAGTTAGAACATCTGGGGCCAGTTAAAGAACTAGTTGAGACTGGTTATAAAAAGGCTTCTCTGCAGTTAGTTAGCAGGTGAGGAGCTGAGAGGAGCGCTGCAAGGAGGTCAGGAGGAACAAGCATCAGTGGATACTAGGAGGAAGAGAAGGAAGGGGATGTGGAAGGTGTGGGGAGGTAGCCCAGGGTGTCTGTATCTGGCTTGCAGCTGGTGTTGGAGGCTCTTCTACGCCGCTGCTATTGCAAGGCCCTGGAACCCAGAGCAGAGGGTGGCCTGGCTTCCCTCCAACACCCACGTCCCCATTTCCACTTGCAGAAAAGAAAGGGGTTTACCCAGCCCTGTATCATTTGGGGATCCCCCAAGACTGGAAGTTGGTTTCCCTTTCTACCTTACGCTGGCCAATGATGAGAGTAGTTCAACAAACAGCAAATTGATGCTCTAGGTGTGGTGCCTAAATGGAGAGCTCCTAGGAGCCTCTGAGGCAAGCATCCTGCCTGAAAGCAGGAGGAAGAGCTTGGAGTAGGAGCCTTTGGAGTAAGTAGAGTTGCTCTGGATTTACACCAATAAGACGAAGTAGAGTTTGGCCCAGAGGGAGTCCAGCCAGGGCAGAATGCAGTCCTCACCTGTGTGGGGAGTCTCCGTCGAGCTTGTGCATGGATCTTGCTGATGGATCTGTGCGGTTTCCCCAGGGCAGGGCAGAGGGGAAGATGGATTCCCCTCACCAGCAAGACACATTGGATGCCCAGAATGACTTGGTGCCAAGCTGCTTTATACCTGGGAGGAAATCGTAACCGTGCAGAGGGACGACAGCTGAGCCTTTATTTGCTGGCTACAGTAGTGCTGCTCCGTCGGCAGTGGGTGGAAATGCCTGCGGATCAGCAGGGCGTGCAGATGCCTGTAGCCGGGGGGGCCCTTCTGGTACTTGGCCATTACCCTGCCCCTCTTGGACACTCTTACTAAACCCTCAGACTCTTCATTGAGAGAGGCTGGGGGCCTGCCTTTGCTGCCGCCTTGCAATCTGAGACACTCTCTCCTGTATGGCTAGACAGCGGGGCCCCATCCTCTGTCCTCGTTCACATCCGTCTCTTTGACTGTGCGTAAAGGCGGCAGGATCGTGCTCAGGTTGTGGAACCAATTTTAAGAGATGTGCCAGTGCCAGGCTGCAGCATCCCAGTGATGCTCCCTGAAGTGTTTTGCCCCCGTTCTAACCAAGGACTTTTTGTTTAGCGTAGTCCATTGGACACGTAACTGTCTGAGACTTCAGATCAGCTCTGTCTTTTGGTCCTGATCCAAAGCTGAGCGACCCCCATTCAGCTGCCGTGGGTATTGAATCTAGTTCCTGGACTGGCCAGAAGAGGGAGCACGAAGCAAGCAGTTGGCTCAGGATTTTGGGGAGTAGAGCGTTCCTTATGCGTCCCTGTCTCTGATCCGTTTGGGGGTGGCATAGACTGCGCTGGGTTGGAGTCGCCGCTGCCCTGTGCTATAGGGATGGTCTTTACAGCGTGTGAGGTCTTGGAAGTGAAAAGGGCGTGGGAAAGTGAGAAGGATCCCGCTCCTGCGCTCTGAGATGGGCTCCCCCAGGAGAGAACCACAGGCTGGCGAAATTATGCCATGCAATCTGTTTTTATGGGATGCGGAGAAATCGGTTGCCTGGGATTTCACAATAGCCAAATAACCTCTGTTTTCTCTCCTTGCAGAGCTGAGGAGCAGCCTGCTAAAAGACCTGATTCTGTTTCCATTTTCCCTTTATTCCCAGGCATTCAAATGTACATCTGTAACCGAGAACACTACGGCTTCCTCCCGGTGCCGCTGAAACTGCACCAGACACTACAGGAAGACGTGGAGAACTTTGTCCATGTGACAATCGAGGCGATGAGTAAGTCTGAGCCTGCCCCGTCTCTGCAGAACCATCCCTGGGATGCCGAGTCCTTTCTCGCTGAGTGGTGGCCCTTTGCCGCCTGCCTCAGTGTTGCTTCCATTCTTGACCTGCAGAGCGACAAGGCAGGGGAGGTAAAATATTTCATTGGCTCCAATTCTGCTGGTGCGAGAGAGAAGCTTTCGAGCTACATAGAGCTCTTCTTCAGGTCTGGGAAAGCTGGGCTGAGCATCGCAGCTAAAGACAAGATCAGACGGATAGTTTCGCTTCACGTAGCCTGTGTTCGAAGGGGCCATTCAAGTCCAAGTGAAATGCAACGAGGGATGTTCACTGGGGGCCAGTACAAGTGGTGTTGGAAGTGTGGAAAGAATTTGCTCACTGGATGCCCAGCTGTGCTCTCACGGCAGTGGCAGGGAGCAGCATCCTTATACTAACCATGTCCTTAAAGCCTGGATTAAAGATCATGGCAGAGATGTTCAAAGCCACCCAAAAGGATCTGGGCCCTAGAAATGAATGAGCGCTGGGCTTCCAGACCCCTCCTTTATCACCCTGGAATGATGGCTGTGTTCCCAATGGTACGGCACTTGGATAATACGAGTGCGGCCCCTTCCCAGCTCCTGCTGGTTCCAGGGTTGGGATTGCCCCAGTTTGTGCCAGTCAGAGATCTCAGCACCAGATTTAGAGATGAGCCCTGCCAGGGCGTAGGCAAAATCTCCTCTTGGATCCATCGGTGTGTTTAGCCCAAGGTTACACAAATCAAGGAAGCCAGCCTGGCCGGGAAATACCAGACCGATCATTAGACACAAGAGTTAGTCTCCTCTCAGCCAGAGGAGCTGTAAATTGGGTGGGCTGCTGAGCAGTTAAGGCAGGACTCAGATCAATCCCGCAAAGGTGCTTCCAGGGGTTGCGCAGCACCAGAGATCAACACACGGGTTTGTAGGGGCAACCATGGATCTAGCAGCCTGATACCCCATAGGTCTGCAGTGTTTGGGACCCCTTGCTCCCTACCCACTTCATGTCATCTTACCCTGCCTCCTGCTGGAGGGCACCATTTCCTTAAAACTGGGTGGCGTTGGCCTCCGGGAGCTCTCAGCCCGCTCTGTCCCGGTTCTGAAGATTGGACAGCAGTGAAGAGGGGCAATCTGTAGCAGAGTTGGAGTTTTCAACTGATGGTTTTTTTTTTTTTTTTTTTTTTTTCCTGTAATTCCCTCACCACCAGCTCCTCCTCGGATAATTTCCTGCCAGCAACAGCAAAGCTCCACCAGCAGCAACCCCTACCCTGCACCAAACCATTATTTACATTTTGCCAGAGCTGAAGACAGACGTGCTCCTGTGCGTTCCCTTTGCAGTCACATGGCGTCTGGGCGCGCCACTGGCACATGATGCTAGTTAGGCCGTATCATCACACGCCACGCCCAGGTTCCTCTCGGTCCCGGGGGAACTGGTGAAAAGCGATGACAGAGCATTTACTGGGTTTCTTTGCCACAAGGCAGTTGAGTAACCAGCGCTGTGAATGTTTCTGTTCTCTCTCAGTTGATCATCCTCCAGTCGAGCCTTCGCAATATGTCTCCATTCCCCGAAAACACCCAGACAAGATGGGATTTGATGAGGTAGGTGAGATGGGCTGTTGTTCCCAGGGTGCAGTTTGGGAACCAGTGAAACTGCTGTGCCCCCTAACAATTCACCTCAGTTGGCCTCTCACACTACTCTGCTGGTGACTCAGCTAGCTTCTCCAGGCTCTTTTGTCACCCACCACGACAGCAGGTGGTGCCTCACACCCAACTGTGTTACTCGCGTGCTTTACTAAAGCCACTCATGGACAAACCGGAGGACCCCGTCTACTTCCCAGCTCCCCAGCCTCGCACCCCTAGAATAATAGAATCCCAGGGCTGGAAAAAACCTCAAGAGTCATCAAGTCCAGTCCCCTGCCCAAAGCAGGACCAACCCCAACTCAATCATCCCAGCCAGGGCTTTGTCAAGCTGAGACTTAAATATTTCAGGAGTGGAGATTCCACCACCTCCCTTGGTAACCCATTCCAGTGCCTCTCCACCCTCCTAGTGAAATAGTTTTCTCCAACTAATATCCAACCTAGACCTCCCCCGACCGAAGTATAAACCCAGAATTCTATTGTCTTTCACTGCACAGGGATCTGCATGATGCAAGCTCATTCATTAATTTGCTCCCACCTCAATGTGGGGAAGATACGCAGCAGCCTTTGGTTAGGATTCTCAAACACTTCACTCAAACTCACTACTTAAGATAAAATATAAAACAAATGAATTAACTATGGCAAGATAGATTTTAAGTGCTTCTAAGTGATAGCAAACATACCAAAGCAGATTACCCCGCACATAAATAAATAACACAAAGGAGATTAATGTATTAGATAGATAGGATTTGAATTAGCAATATCTCACCCTGACTGATGATACAAGCAGGCTAATAGGCATCAGCAGCACGTGCTGTGCAGGTTGGGTCCCCCTTCCTTGTTCCAATTCCTTTGTCTTCCAGGGGCTTCAGATGTTGAGTTGTGGAGAAGTGAAGACAAATCATGATGTCACTCCCCACCTTATATGGTTTCTCTTTACAGTAAAACTCCGATGGTCTGGCATCTCATGGTCAGGCACTCCTGATGGTCCGGCACCATCAGGAACCTGGAAGTGCTCCGGGCAGCTGGACCATTGGAGCTGCTCTGCTCCCAGCTTCCCAGATTCAGCCGCTGCTAAAACTGACCAGCGGCTGAATCGGGGAAACTGGGGGCAGAGCAGCTGGAGGGCCGCTGGGGGGGTCCAGGAGCTGGGACAGAGCAGCTGGGGTGCTGCCGGATTGGTCCAGCAGCGCCACTCCTCGGCACTGTGGGACCAACCTGGCAATGCCCAAGCTGCTCTGTCCCAGGCGTCTGGATTCAGCTGCTGTTG